ACATCTTGCTCCCCAGCAACAAGGAACAACGGGGGTCAAAGAGCCCTTCATTTAGTTAGCATCTGGGTGTTGAATTGTCATGGGGCTCCTGCTAATGGGTACAAAAAAACCCCGTTCTGTGAAAACCAAAATGTTCTAAAATTAGAGTGTGGAGATAGTTACACAATCTTGTGAGTATACTAAAAATAACTAAGTGCACTTTTTTAAAACCTCTTGAGTGTGAATTAGGTGAAGGTTTACCGAGCGGTTCCGTTCATTGTTTTACATTCAACAATTCGCACACATCTGACTCAACTCCCCCACTGCAGTCCCCCTGGAGGCACCAGCACCTCTCCCAGCACCTCTCTGTACTACCTGCCCCCAGTCCTCCTTCCTTCCTAACCTTTGAACTTTGTCCTCAGGTAAATGTTGCCCTTTGGATCTCCAATGGTTGATTATGCTAACACAGGGATGAGTTCAGTCCCAGCCTTAACAGGTGACTAAAGGCCACCCTTGTCTGTCACCTTGTCCTACTGTGGTGGCTTGTGGGTCGCTGGGAAGGTTGAAATACCGGTGGGTAGTTCACATGCCAGCAGGGTCACCCAAGTTAACAGCGGAGCTTCTAGAGGAAGAACACACAACGAAGAAGGGCTGGCTGTCCACTTCAGAGAAGGTAGCCCCCGCAAGCCCTATGCCCGCTGGGAAGCCTTCAGATACTGAAGGCCGCATGAAGGGACGCAGAACGTTGTCCGAGATCCTGTTGGAGCGTGGACCCCTCCAGTCCGAAGGCGCTCAAAATGTGACTGAGGAAAAGCTGCTTTCTCAGAGCGGTCCGAGGTAGTCAATGGTGCCAACCTGGCCCGTAACACAGGTGGGGTTCACTGAAGGGCGGAGAGATAAATGGCTCGGTGAGCCTCACCTTTCTAGTTCTTGGGTCTGTTGCTTTCTAATGGTCGGACCAGGGTGCAGCTGCCTTAGCCAGTTCCCTGCTTCAGCTGGCAAGGCTCACTTCCTGCAAGACATCTCTGAGGAGAAGCAGCATGGACCTACCCCGATGCAGCCCTGGGTGCTGGAGCAGCCGTGTGGAGACCCCTGCCAGCGCTGAGATGCTTACACGCTCACTGATTCGGCTTTCCTCCTGCAGTCAGCATCCATAGTGTGTGTTTTGTGAGATGGAGGAGGACTTTGTGGATTGGTGTCGGACATATGGGCTAATGTTGGACATGTGTGCTTGGGCAGCACTGGGTTGGCATGTTTTCTTGACGTGCAGTTACCCTTTATATAAAACTCTCTCTTCTACATGAGTTTCTGTGGATTTGTTTTTCTAATGTACCCAGACTAATACAGGGTCGTTCGACCACGGTGATGTGAATGGAGTATTGGAATTAGCTGAAATGACTGGTTTGGGCCATTTTGAATCGTAAAAATCCTACAATTTACGATGCTAGGAAAGACACAATCAAGAGGAATGGAATTGCATTCATTGTCACAAAGGACCTTTCTAAAGTATTCTTGACGGACAATGCTGTCTGTGATGGGATTCTCTCTGTCTGCCTTCAAGTAAATCCAACCAATAAAACGCTTATTCAAATTTATGCACCAACCACAAAAACTGATGAAGAAATTGAATTCTACCAGTCTTAAATCCAAAATTGATCAAAATGCAATCAAGATGCATTGATAATTATTGGCTATTGTAATCAGAAGCTGGAAACAGAGGAAGGAAGTAGCTGGAAAATACAGTCTTGGTTTTGGAAATAAAGGTAGAGATGGAATGATAGAATTTTGCAAGACCCGCAGCTTGTTCATAGCAAATACCTTTTCCAACAATGCAAAGGGCAACCCTGCATGTTGGCTTCTCCCGACGGAATACCCGGAAATCACATGGACTGCATCTCTGGGAAGAGACGAGGAAGAAGCACATTATCAGCAGCTAACACCAGGCCAGGGCTTGTCCCTAGAACAGACCATCAATTGCTCATATGTAAATCCAGAATAAAGCTAAAGAAAATGGAAACAAAAAAAAGAAAATGGAAACAAGTCCAAGAGAGCCAATATACGACCTTGAGTCTATCCCATCTGAATGTCAAGAACATCTCAAACACAGATGTGAAGCATTGGACACTAATGACAAGAGACCTGATGAGCTGTGGGAGGACATGTCACCATTCCCCACATGCAAGAATCTCTGTCTGAAGTGGCAGAGGCCACCGAGACCAGATGCACCCGAGACTGTGGGTCAAGACTCAGAGGAGCAGCACTGAGTCCATGAGGGGCCTTCTCCGCAGTGGAGAAGCTCAATGTAAAGAGATCCTCACAACTGGACCAGTGGGTGACGTCATGATAAAAGGAGAAACGATCGACACTGGCAAGGATCTTGTCTTGCTTGGATCCACAATCAGTGCTCCTGGAAGCAGCAGTTAAGAGGTCAAAGGTTGAGTTGCATTGGGGAACTCTGCCGCACAAGACCTCTTTAGAGTATTGAAAAGCCAGGATGCTATTTCGAGGACAAAGGTGCCCCTGACCAAGCCATGGTATTCCCATCACCTCATATGCATGTGACGGTTGGACCTTGAGCAAGGAAGACGGAAGAAGAATCGAGGTGTTTGAATCGTGGTGCTGGAGAAGAATATTCAGAGTTCCACAAACTGCCAAAAGGACAAAGTGATCTGTCTTGAAAGGAGTCTGGCTGGAGTGCTCCTTAGAGGCAAGGATGGCAAGACTTGACGTCTTCCATACCTTGGACGTGTTGTCAGCAGAGACTAGTCCCTGGAGAAGGACACCATGTTTGGTAAAATAGAGGGCCAGTGAAAGAAAGAAGCCCCTCACCCAGATGGAGTATCAGGGGCTGCGACTATGTACAGGGACAACGGTCAGGGTGGCCAGGGCCTGGCAATGCTTCCTTCTGTGGCCCCTAGTCGCTGTGGGTGGGAACCGACTGGGTGGCACCTAACTGCAACAAAGCCATAGTATGAGGGTCCCATGAGACAATCCAGCCCATAATCTACCTTCCTGTATGATTTTGGATCCTGCTCCACATTTCTCTCCCATTCTATCCAATGTAGTGATGGCTGGGTGTCTTCTAGTCCTCTTGGTCTCAGGGTTGGAGATGCTGTGTGGCTCATGAACTCAGTGGGCTGTTTGCTTCCATGTGTCTTTTGAGCTTCCTCGCTCTTCTCTCCTCTGGACTGGGAGAGACCAGTAGTAGTTCAATAAAACTTTTTTTTTTAATTAAAACGTTACCCCAACAGCATTTTACCTGATGGTTTTAGAAGTCATCCTTTCCTTAGGGGGTGCAAAATTATATTCTAATGTCGCCATTTGTACTACAGTCGTCTATAATAGTACACTTTCCCTCACAAATGATTTAGTTTGGTTCAAGGAAGAAAGGGCTGCATAAGTGCTTGATTCTTCTCTTTAGTTATGGAGTCCTGGTGATGTAGTGGTCTGCTAGCTGCAAGGTCAGCAGTTCAAAACCACCAGCTGCTCCACAGGAGAAAGATGGGTTTTTTTGTCTCCGGTAAAGAGTTGCAGTCTCAGACACTCAGCAGGGGCAGTTCTACCCTCCTCGAGGGCCTCTATGCCTCAGAATCAACTTGATGGCTGTGAGTTTGTTTCTTCTCTTTTGTTAACAAGTTTCTGGTAATTTGGTTCCCTCACCTTCCCAAGGTAACCGATGGGTTTTTCTTTTTGTGTTGTGAACGAACTCGTGGATTCTCATGAATGGGGCATCTTTCAATTCACTGGAGTTACTCTTGGTTGTTGCTGTTGCTTACGGTGTTCCCTCCTCAGTTAGTTGTCTCATCTTAAGTCCGTCAGAGCCTGTTCACCTGGCTCGTGTCCCTGACTCCTTCCAGTCTTTCATCGTTTCTTTGCTTTCTAGGAGAGCCAGATCATTCCAGGATATCCCCGACACTTCCCCTCACGCCTGGAATCAGCCATTTCTCCACAGTCCTAGGAGCTGTCAGCAGGGCATGGCATTTAGCAAACACAATGTACACCCCATGGGCGCTCATGGCTACTAGATGGTCATTCTTTCTAGACTTTTTCAGAAAGTGGGGCTAGCCAATGTGGCAATCAGGTCACAGCCAATGATGCCTCTGTGTGGGCATGGTTTTCTCCAGAGGATTCTGGGAACTCCTGTCTTCCTCCCTAGAGGTGGGGCACACGCTCTCTTCTTATCTCCCTGTGAGACATTCCTGTTGACGAGCCACATGGAGCTACACACTGATGGAGCCAGAGCCCTGGAGCTGGAGGAGCCACGGGGAGACCCACGCCAGTGCTGAGATGCTTCCACTGCCACTGAATCCATAAGACTTTCCACCCACTGGCCTGCAATCTTCCTGCATTCAGTGTCATTGCACGTGTTGCATGAGTCTGAAGAGGAATTCGTAGACTGGTATTGAACATAGGCGCTAATACTGGACTTATGGACTTGAACTGGACTGGGATGTTTTCTTAATATACAATTGCTCTTTTATATAAAGCTCTTTCTTATACACATATGACTATGAATTTGTTTCTCTAGTCAACCCAGATGAACACAAATTCATATTGATATTTTAGATTGGAAGTGGCAATGAGAGTGCTTTTATATTTTTAGCTTTTTCTTACACTGAAAATCTTGGAGTTTAGTTCTCTCTCCTCTCTGAGTTACCACCCATTCCAACCTGTCAGAGCTCTCTCTGGCTTTACACGGTGTCAGGAAATCTCTCCTGGATGACCCTCCTTGTCCCATTCATTATTAACAAACAAGTACCGGGCACCCACTATGTATTAGGGAAAAAGACAGGCTTTCTACTTCTGTAAAGATTTAGTCTCGGAAACCCACGGCCAGTTCTGCCCTGTCCTATAGGGTTGCTAAGGGCTGGCATTGGCTCGGTGGCACAGTCTGAGGCCACACTTGCCCCCAGCCAGAACATGGGTTTGTCTCACCTGACACATTCGCCAAGCCTCAGTTGGCACCTACCTCCCCTGACCCTCTTCTCTACTCTAGCCAGCCAGAAAAAAAGTCTCTCGGGTGTATCAAAAAATAATATTTATTGTCACTGATAAAAAACACAGCTGACCAACTGGCCTCTAAGTCTGTACAAAGTCGGGGCATAGAACCACCCAGGAGCACCCCCTTTCTCCCATAATGCCCAGCCCCAGAGCATCTCCCAGAAGCATCATGAAGGGGAGAGGGCCACCCGTCACCTTCCCTTAAGTAGAGACGCTAAGGATGGACACGGTGGGGGGAGGGGAGGGAGTGGAGAAGGCACTTGGAGTTGGGAGCCCGTCCAGTGGTCCCGATCCTCTGAGCTCCGTCTGTGAGCGATGGGAGGTAAGCAGCGGCAGCTGGGCTGAGAAGCCTGTTGATAAGGTGGTCAGAGGGCCACGTGGGTGCAGTAGTGGCGCAGCGGGCAGGGCAGGATGCCGCGGTTCAGCTGGTGGAACTCCACGAGCTGCAGGAGGTCAGTGAAGCGGGTCTGGCCGTCATCCATGCTGAAGTAGAGGCGGCCCTCCTCTTCACCCTGGGGATGGCCAGGGAGGGTGCGGAGGCTCAGGCAGGGGACGAGGTTCAGGAAGTCCATTTCTTGGGCAAGGGAGGCAAGTCCAGACACCCTGGGGGCCAGAGGAACAGGGCAGGTCGCTGGGGGGTCTCCACGCAGGTGTCTGGGGTCTACTCACCGGCAGGATGAGATAATGCTTGACCTTCTGCAGGTGGCACAGAGAGAGGACGAAGCCCTGAGGGTTCCGTTGGCTCTCCCGGACCAGGAACAGGCTGCCGGGAGATGGCAACGTCAGCCAGGGGCAAGTGGCTGCCACGTAGACCAAGTGCTGAGCCCGGAGCGGTCGCCAGCCCCAGCCCTGCCCCTTACCCATCCACTAGGCCCTGCTGCCCAATGAGCCGCTGGCTATCCTCTCGGGAAATGCGTCCGTGGAACCAGGGCTGCGTGTGGTGGATGGCTGGGGTGGGGGAGGGGAGGCAGACGGGCAGTCATTCCCAGGGAAGGGACTCGCCTTCCCTCCCCCTCCCCCAGGAAGGCTCGGAGAAGCCAGGATGGCCCCCACCCCCGGGGACTTGGGGCCCCCATCCACCTGCACTGAGGCTTGAGCTTGAGAACGGGGTGGGCAGGCTCAGGCGGTGGTTTGTCTTCTTCTGCAGATGTGGGGGACAGAGGGGACTCTGCGTATGGCTGGGGGTGTCCCCCCAGCTCTTCTGGACTGAAGCGCTCCTGTCTCCAGGTGGGGGACCTCCCCTCAGGCCTCCCTCCTTCCCACTCCCGCACAGGCACTTACCCTCCAAGCCTGGGCCTCCTCCAGGGCCACAGTCAGAGCTTCCCGGGGGTTCTCAATGACGCGCCCAGCCTGGCCGGAGAAGTCCATGGCCACCAAAGTGTTATCGGAGACGCTCCTCTGGAGAGAGGACAGGATGGGGCAGGGAGGGCGTCTCAGCTGGGCCCCAGTACTCCCAGGGACAGGACACCTGGGCACGCACCCCAGGCTAGTGCCCCCTACACACTCACCAAGGGTGGGGAACCCAAGCAGGATGGACGGAGGTGGCGAGACTGTGCCTGCTGATAATTTTTATACAGCTGCATCCCATACTAGGGGTGGGGAGGAGAGGGGGCTGGGGTCAAGGAGGTTCTGGTCGGTGGGCTGTACACCCATGGAGCCGAGGCTCAAGAAGCAGGGATCCCCTCCGGGGGTGCTTCTCCCTCCCGCCAGGGAGCCCTAGGCCACTCCAGAGCCTCACCTTGAAGAGGCGGAAGGCAGCCAGCCAGCAGGTGCGACTCTGCTCATCCTCGCTGCAGAAGATGCGTAGCCCCTTGTGGCCATTCCGAAGCTTGTTGGGCTGAGAGGAGAGCAAACGGGGTGGTCCCTGATCTGCCTTCCGGACCCGACGTCTGTCTATCTCCATGGGGCTGGATGCCGGGCCCATGGGACCCCCAGCAGGGCCAGGTGCCGCAGCGTGGCACTGAGAAGCCCCACGGAGGAACCCTGGGCTTGAGCAGCTCCTGTCCCCTCCCAGGCCCCAGCCGGGACCCGAGCGGTACCTTGATACAGAAGCCGAAGTCCGTGGGCATCCCGTAGAGCTTGCGGCCCTGGGTCACCACGTACACGTTGGACTCATTCACATCTGCCACGTACTGCAGGTGCCGCGGGTCCTGAGCACACAAGGGAGGGAGTGGGGCTTGAGGCTGGCAGGCCCTCAGCCCTCATGACTGTCTTGTCCCCTTAAGCTAGGAGGGAGAGGGCCTGGGGGGTCCAGTGGTTCATGCTCTAGCTAGAAAGGTTGGCAGTGTGAATGCACAGCCGCTTCTCGGGAGAGGGGTGGGTCCGCCCTGGCCTAGGGAGTCGCTGGCAGTGGGGACCAGTGCTACTACGGCAAGGGGGTTGGTTTTTGATCTTTAAGTCAGGTGGGGAGATTGCAGCCCAGAGAGGCCCGGGGCGCTGGAGGTCACACAGCCAACCGAGGTCAAGGCAGGGCTTGAGCTGCCTTAAGGAGCCTGGTGGTATAGCAGGTTCCAACTTGGCAGTGGCTCTGAGGGAGAAAGATGAGGCTGTCTATGCCATCAAGAGTTACTGTCTTGGGGATGAGTGCGCAGGGGCCGTCCGGCTGTCCGATGGAGTCCCTATGCATCAGAATCAACTTGAAGGTGGTTGAGTTTCCCAGCGTTGCTGCCTGGGGCAGGTAAACTGGGCAGGGTGGTGTGGAGAGGAGGTACACTGGGGACAGCCTGGGACAGCAGCGGAGGGTCTTAGGGTACAGAAGGAGGCTCTCCTGGAATGAGAGGCCTGGGGGGCTGGCACCCGTCAGACCTCACCCTGGAGGCGCCCTTGGTGGAGTAATAGAGGCCGGACCGGCGCAGGAAGCAGAAGAGGCGTTTCCAAAGCTTGCGTCCAGTCCCCCGCAGCTGCAGGAAGCCCTGGATCTCGGGGAAGCTGCCCGCCTTGAGGAAGTTCTGAGGTCAGACGAGAGCAGTGGTGAGGAGAGAAGGAGACACCCGGGCCTTTACGGGGCTCGCTTTTATCACCCCCCTTAACCCGACGGCGAAACTGATGCTTAGGCAGGGAAAGTGACTTACAGCCTCGTGCTACCATATGGGGGGACACAAGAAGGCACGGGGTGATCCGGGGGCCATGAGTGTGAGGTGGAGGGGGCCCCCTCACCTGGATGAGGTCTTCATGGGACAGGTCCGGGTTGTCCTCGAGACAACTGGAGACCATCTTCTCTGGGAACAGGGAGTGCTAGGGGCAGGAAGTTGGGCCGTGGTCAGGGCCTGAGGGTGTGTAAGTTGGGGACCAGGGGGGCCCCCGGCCCTCACACCCCAGGCACCCACACTCACTGGGGAGTTCTTGAAGAGTTCGTACTTGGCGAAGTTCTTCCGGAAGACAAAGCGGCTGTCTCCGCCCACGGGCCAGGCAGCCTGCACCTCCACCACGGACTCATGGTCCTCCAGCCCCCGCTCTGCGGGCCAGGGCAACAGGCCGGGCTCTATGGCACCTGAGGCCAGCCAGCATCCGCCACCCCCACCCCCCTCTATGGCACCTGAGGCCAGCCAGCATCCGCCCCCGCTCACCCCCGGGGGAAGCAGAGACCCCCAGCCCAAGCAGTTCCCTGCCCAGCTCACCCAGTGCCAGGTGGGGGTGGTACTCCACCAGCCCCCAGTTTTCATCGCTCAGGGCATGGGCGTGGTGCACCAGCATCTCGCACACATACCGCGCTGTGGCCCCCGCCGCCACCTCCACCGACCGGCAGGATTCGTCTTCGCCATACACCTTCACCACCTGTACCCCAGGGATTCCCGAGACTTGGCGGAGGGCAAAGGGCGATCCCTATCCTTCCTACTGACCGGACCCTCAGGGTCCCCTGGCCATGCTCCCCACCAGCACCACCCAGAAGGGAGAGCACCCTTTCCTGAGACAACTCACGTGGAGGCAGCTGGCATCTCGGGAGCGCAACCCCCGGGGACCGGAGGAGCCCCCGAGAATGGGGCTTTGGGAAGATGGACTGCAGAGCTCGGGGAAGGGGTTGGGGATGGAGGGCAGAGAGGTGGCCCGCAGCTCCTCCTGCCGGAGATGCCTGTGGTGAGGGCGGAGGGCAGAGGGCAGAGAGGCACTGACTGTCAGCCCCTGTGGATTACCTGTGTGGCCTCTCCGCCTCCTGGTGACCCCGTGCACATCCTACCTGCTGGCTGGGATGGGCAGTGGCTGGGATCGCGTCACCTCCTCAGACATGGGGACATCGAGGGCAGGGGGAGTCCCGGGAGGGGTCCCGGAAGCTGGGCAGGGGTCTTCCGAACAGCTGTTGAGTTGCGGCGGAGACAGATCTAGCTCCATGACATCTGGTGGAGAAGAGGGAACTGATAGCGGGTGCTCGGTGCCCTCCACCTGCAGAGGGGGGCCAAGACGCCTCGCCTCCCTGGCCCCATCTATCGCTGGGTGAGTTGGCAGGGAGCTCCCATCTGGTGGGAGAGTGGGTGCTGGCTGCCCTCAGAGTCAACACAGCCCCTCCCTGCTCTCTTACTCCCCGGATATTCCCAGCAGCTCTCAGGAAAGGATGGAATGAGCCCCACTTTACAAAAGGGGATGCTGCATCCCTCAGAAAGAAGCGCTGTGGCCCCAGACCACCTGGGATTGCAGCTGAGGAATCTGGCGTCTGGACTCCCAAATCCAGTGCTCTTTCTTTGGCCCTGGGTCACCCAGAGGGCTAAGGGCCTCCACCATAGGGCTGGGAGTGCCACCAAGTGCCACATCCCACAGACCTGGGCTCAGGCTCTAGGGCTCCGAACCTGGACCACCCACCAGGCTCTGCCCCTGGGGTTTTCCTTGCCAGACCCAGTTGTCAGAACGTGTTGTGGCAACGCCTGCCCAGGTGCTGCAGAAAGGGGCGTGGGGACAGGGAAGGGCAGGACAGGGGCATGAGGGCAAGACGGAGGGCTGGTGGGGATGGGGGTAGAACTTCAGAGCCTTTGCCCCCTGCCCCCCCCGCCCCCAAACCTGGTGTGTCCTCCAGAGAGCCTCCTCCTTTCTTCAAGCCTCAGTGCCACCACCTCTGAGCAGCCTTCCAGGATTTTCCACATTCCAACCCAATGGCTCCCTCTCAGTATTTGCTGCAGGCTCTGTACACCTGTCTTATCTATCCACTGGTCTGGGGCACTCCAACACCCCAAGCAGGGTAAGGGCCTCACCCAGGACAGGACGGCACAGTACCCTAGGACACGTCAGGATAGGAGAGATGGGCAAAGATGCCCCTTGGCTGGGCTGAGGCGGGGAGGGCCTGGCAGAACTCGCCAATCGCACCGGGTTCCCCCTACCCCCTGCCTCATCTTTCAACTGGCTGAGCCGGGCCAGTTCTGCAGCTGCTTGGGGTATCCAGGAGGAACCCCCAGAACAGGGTAGCACCTGACCCTAAAGTGAGGGCGTGAGGGGACTTGGGGGACAGGTGAGTCAGTTTGGGGCGGGACAGCACTGCCTGGGGCTCTCCACTCAACCTTGACTCATCTGCAAACTTCCTGGCTTAGAAACACAAACAACCTTGCTTCCACCACCCCCTCACCACCACCCCTATACCTGTCTGTGGCCAGGGAGGGGGACGAGCACAGGGAAGGGCACAGGGTGGGGAGGAGGAGGATGCCGGGGAGGGGGGAGGAGGTGGATGCCGGCCGGAGGCTGCTCTGACATCATCTCCTCCTCCCCAGCCTTGGCCTACCTCCTACTCCTTCAGTCCAGGTGGGACCTGCAGCCACCACCCCAGCTGTAGCCACCCCGCAGCCCAGGGACCCACAGTCCAAGGAGAGAGGGAAGGCCCGGCCTGGATTCAGAGGTCCACTGGGCCTCCCAGTGGGGCGTCCCACCCACCCACAACAGTGTTCAGCGGGCCCTGCTCCTGTCTCCAGGCTTCTCCCTGCTGCTGCCCACCTCAGGGCTCAGCCGGCCCAAGAGATTCCTTGGTGTCACCACTGGGGGACGGGGTGCATCCAAACCCTGCTCTCACATCATCTCACTGAGCACCCTGCCCACAGAGACAGGGACGGAGTGTCATACCCCTCAGAGGACAGATGAACCCAGTTAGGGCAAAAGTTCCCTAAGAGAGGTGCAGGGAGGGGCTTAGAGTCATTGACACCCATACTCGATGGACAGGCTGACTGCTTGACAACAAGGTTGGTGGTTCACACTCTGGCAGAAGACCCTCCAGGGCTGGCCTAGGGATCTGCTGCCATGAGACCACAGCTTTGAAGAGCCCAGGGCACGGATCTATTAGCAATGCTTCCACAGCCAGCACTATGGCCCTGCCCCCAGCTAAGCAGGAGCCAATGACCCCATCAAGGAGAGCTAGGGAGATTGCTTGCAGGACCAGCCCCTCCAGGACAGCAGTCTAAGAGGGACCCAGAGGGCAGTGCTGGGAAAGGGAGAGGGGACAGGAGGCATGTTAGATGTGGAACACAGGAGGCCGGCCATTGGACCACCCTGCCTTTCCAGCTGGGGCGCTGGAAAGGCTTCTTTTGTAGACCCCATATCTCTTGTCCGATCCCCAATGCATTACCCAGCTCCAAATCCCCAACAGCCTCCGGTGTCCCAGCGGCTCCAGCCCCGCCTCCTTGCCTCCCTGCCTCCCTCCCGCCCTCCTGGCCTTGTTTACTTCCTGAATCGGGCCCCACCTGGCTGGCCCCAAGGGCGGTGGCAGGGCCCAGTGTTTAAGGCCCACAGAAAACAAGGCCACCTACCGTATTTCCCTGGGTGGGGCGGGTGCTGGAAGGGCCAACCCCGGGCTGGGGGCGTGGGGGAGGGCCCCCATTCTGCTCAAGACTGTGCCCCACCCCCAACAAGGGGTAGCTCTTGCGTGAGGCCCAGGTGAGGAGGAGGGAACCCCCCACCAGGTGACCCAGAGTTGAGAGGAGGGCCCAGAGCCCTGAGGCCCCGCCCACTCCTTCATTCACCCGAGAACTTGCCCAATGGGAGAAAGGGGGGCGGGGGGCGCAGCTCTTTTAAACTTTAATTTGGGAAGAATGCTAGAATAGCCGGTTAATCATTACAGGCGGCTGGCTCTCTAGGCGGGCCCCCCACAGCAGGCGATAGCGGGGAGTCCAGAACAGGCCAGCCCAAATGGGCAACCCTGGGGGCACGAGGGCTTGGAGGCAGGTACCAGGGAGACCCAGACGGCGAGCAGGATCGGCGGCGGGACGCCCTCCCCCAGCTCCCTTGGTCCTCCCGGCGGCTGGCCGCACGCCAGCCCCCTCCCCCTGGCTCTGGAGCTGGCCCCCAGGTCTGGGTCCAGAGGGAACCGTCCGGAGAGGTGGGCTCCAGCCATTTAGGCCAGAGAACAAGCCCCCCACACACACCTTTTGAACTGTCCTCCAAGGGGGGGAG